ACCAAGCATTTGTGTGCCATTCATTTTTAATGGCACTTAAAATGCAGTGCAGTCTTACCATGATTACTGCATGGCAATCATGGCAAACCACACTGAGTGAAGCTTATAGTCCAAAAAGCAGCAGGAATTTAATTTGTGGACAAGCTTCGTGTGTTGCAGTTTGCCACGTGACAATCAAAGCAAAACCGCACCACATTTTAGTTGCCAATAAAACTGAATGGAACACAAACATGCCTGGTGTGTTTTGCAAAAATTGCAGTGCAATTTGTAATTCTAAACCGCTAGATGTGAACAGGCCTGAATGTTCCCTCATCAGTTATCAGGGGGGTAGTTCGAAATAAGGAAGCAGCTGCACCTCTATCAAGATGGCTGCCTTCACACAGGCTTGTCTATATTCGCATCGCACACTTTTATGGAAACGGTAACATTTTGAAGCAGCGCAGGACCTCTGGCAGTCATGTGATTAATCACATGTCTGATGAAGGGGTCCTGTGAGGCTCAGAAACTTTGCACTTGGTCCTTTCTTATGTGATCTTTTTGCAGTAAAGGTTTTGGACAACATTTGTTGATCCATGGTGTTCTGGCGAATATGTGCATTGTGGCTTCACACAGTGGGGGGAATGCATAAAGGCTGTTCTAGACACCCTGTAGAATGTCATCAGAGAGAGGTATATAAAGCATTCAGAGCACCGACAGCGCTTTAGTCTGCTTGCTTGATCCATCTGGCAATAGTTGACTTAGCAGCCTGAAACCCTTGACGTTTGCCGGAAAAGAGGACAAATAGAGAATCAGACATACTGAATTGTTTGGATACTTCCCAGTAATGCAAAAGACATTTCCTTACGTCCAGCAGACTGAAATTCTTTTCTTTCTCGTTTGAGGCAGAGGAACAAAAAGAGGGCAGCATAATGTCGTGTTACCTATGGAAATCCATGGTTACTTTCAGCAAAAAGTCAGGATCTGTTTTCAGAATTATCCGGTCATCAAAAACCGCCAAGTATGGCTCTCTGATTGATAGAGCTTGCAGCTCACTAATTCTACAAGCCGTAGCGATAGCCACCAGAAATACTGTCTTCCACACAACAATCTTCACAGAACCTCCATCAAAGGCTCAAGGTTTTAGACGTCAAAACCTGTAAGACTAATGAAAGATCCCAAGAAGGGCAAGACTTCGAAGGTACGGGTCTCATTCTAGCCACTGACTTAAGGAAGCGAAAAACTGTAGGATCTCCCAGGAGGGAAACTTTCAGAAATGTTGCCATGAAATAAGCTCTTGTCTACACCCTCCTGAAAAAAAACTAAGATTGTCTGAATGGAAGTTTCTAAATGTTCCTTCTCCATTACCCAAGAGTTAAATTTATTCCATATCTTAATATATATAGCTCTAGTAACCGGCTTTCTGTAGCTGACCAACATTTTGCAGTACTTTATCCAAAAAAACCTTCCTGCTTTAATAACTGCTCCTAAGGTATCACGCTGAGAGGTTTAACATGTCCAAATCTGGACACCGAACGGGCCCCCGGGACAAGAGATCCTCCCCTTTTAGGAGTAATACTGGAGGACCAACTGCAAAGGATTTCAGGAGGACGAACCAAGGGCATTTCGGCCAATGTGGAACTATCAGAAAGAGATCCAACTTCTCCAGCTGAAATGTTTGTAATACCGCTTGGACCAATTTAAAGGGGAAAAAGCATAAGCTAGACTGTAGGGATACAGATTTGCCAGAGCATCTATGGCTACTGCTGCATCCTCTAGATTCATGGAAAAAAAATCTTGGAACCTTCATGTTCGCTTGACAGGCAAACAGGTCTATCTCCGGCTAGCCCAAAATATCTGTGAGCCAAAAGAAAAGCTCTTCGGCAAGAGTCCATTCTTTCTGGCACACCGCTTGACAGCTGAGAAAATCTGCGAACACATTCTGAGAGCCCTTCAGGTGTAAGGCCGAGATTGATGCTAGATTGACTTCCGAACAAATCAAGATCCTTTGCAATTGCCTGGAGCACGGACTTCTGGTTTTTCTCCTGGTTTGTTAATATAAGCCACCGTCATGCTATTGTCTGAGAGAACTTGTAAATAATCCTTCAATTGCTCCTGAAATTTTACCATTGCCTTTTCCACAGCTCCTTTTGGTTTGAGGAATACTTGGCCTCGTCCGCTGGCAACTGGCCCTGGGTCAACCTCTCTTGTATGTGTGCCCTCAACTCCATGAGGAGGCATCTGTCGTTATCCTCTGGGAAACCAGCAAGATCCACTCTAGCCCCTGGAAAGATGAGCCTCCGTTCTCCAACACCACAGAGACTGCCTGACGCTCCGCGGAAGGAGAAACCTGAGCTCCAGGGTGTCCCTTGCTGCATCTCAAGCCCTGAGCAGAAAGTGCTGTACAGGCCTCTGGTGAAAACAAGCCCATAAAACTGTTGGAAAACATGCTGTCATGAGACCTATAACTGCAGAGATCTCCCACAGGAAGAATTGACTGCAACAACGCTACCCGGTACCTCACTTTGTCTAGTTTGTCTGCGGGGAGAAACACCATTTGAACTGTCGAATCTATGATGTACCCCAGGAATCTTATCGACTGAGATGAAACTAGATTCGATTTTTCCCAATTGATCACCCATCCCAGTGATTGAAGGTGGCTCTGGGTAAACTGTAGATCTTTCCGCAACTGCTGTTTGCTAACAGGAGATCGTCTAAATAAGGAACTATCAGAATGCTCTTTAGTCTCAATGGGGCAATAGCTTCTCCCAGGACCTTGGAGAAAAAACCCTTGGGGCTGAAGATAGTCCAAAAGGGAGTGCTCTGCACTGCAAGTGCTGGAAATTCTCCCCTAACTTGATGGCCATTTTCAAGTATTTTTGATAAGGATGAATGGGTATATGAAGGTATGCATTCTTCAGATCTAGGGTCACAATACAACATCCCTGACGCAGGATATACCTGAGAGAGAATATTGATTCCATACAAAATTCACAGATTCAGAATCAGACATAATTTGCCGGAGGGTTTTTTCAACACAAAAATGTGAGAATAGAAACCCTGACCCCTTTCTTCCACCAGAACTGGGACCAGCACCCTCTGATCTACCATCTCTCTGATCTGCAAGCACAACACGCTTGCTTTTTCCTGATCCTGAGGAAGATTTGTGATCAAAAACCTTTGAAGGGGCAAGGAGTTGAACTCCAGCCTGTAACCCTGATTTATTAGAAGGATGAACGAACTTGGAGGTGACGGACTCCCACACTGGGTGGAATGCCTCCAATCTTCCTCCCACTGGGAGGAAGGAGTCATTGGGTCTTGGTGGAGAGTTGAGGAGGATTAAATAAGATTCCTCATTTACTCTTGGCTTTGTTACCTGACCAACGTTTCCTTGGCCTGGCCTCTTTACCTTGGTCGGCTTGTTGTCTTTTGTCCCCTAAAGCTCGGCGTCCTTTTTTTTTTCTGGAAAGGACTTTTTTCTTATCAGCTGTGTGTGCTCTAGCGCCTCCTGTAATCCGGAGCCAAACGGGTTATCTCCCAAAAAGAGCAAAGCACACAACCGTGCCTTAGAAGTGAAATCACCAGACCACTTCTTTAGCCAAAGTGATCTCCTAGTGGAATTTACCAGAGCTACCATTCCAACTGCTTCCGCTGAAGAATCAACCAAAAACCCAACAGCTTTAAAAAGCATAGGAAATGATTTTAAAATTTTCTCTCTAGATGTACCACCCACTAAGTCATATAAGTCTTAAGCCAAGAGAATCAAAAATCTAAATTTCTGGCTTCACATGGAGAAACAAGGGCTGGTTTGAGACTATTTACAGTAGAATCCCAGGCCCTTTTGAGGAAGACATCCCTATTCTTATTCATAGTGTCCCTAAAGACTCCCATGTCCTCAAACGCAAGGACAGATCTTTTAGAAACCTTTGACAAAGGTGCGTCTAATTTAGGCTCTTTATTCCAAGGATGCTCAACCTTTCTTCAAAGGGGAATCTTCTTTTGAGGTTGTTGGAAAATAAAGGTTTGCACCCTGGCTTCCATTCCAATTTAGTAGCCTCCTTCAGGGGTTTATGGACAGGGAAAACCCTGCACTTTTTACCCTGAAGACTCTCATACATTAAGTCATGTCTAGAGAGATGGACCCTGTCTTCTTCTATTTCTAAGGTTTCGTAAATGGCCTTCGGCACTTCAACTACTTCATCTAGAGAGAGATTGTACTTAGATGACCTAAAACCAGAGCCCTCCCGCTCCTCCTCCTCTTCTTCTGAAGAACTCCCCTTATCCTCACTTTACGAAGAAGATGAGGAATTTATCACTGAAGCCCTATCTGTGACTTCCCGCCTGATCTCAACAGGTGTACGTCTTGGCTGTAGAAGCACGGGCTTCCCCAGAGGAAAGTGGAGGTGGGGTAGGACTTTTAAAATCCTCCAAAAAAGTCTTGAAGGAACTGAACATTGTTACCAATTCATTCTTGACTGGCAACAGCAATTTGACACAAGCTGAGGAGAGTCCTCCTTCACAATACTAGTAATACAAGACTGGCATTTCTCCAAGAAGATCCAAGTTTTTCTGCACAAAACGCACATATCCTTCTCTTGGGGCCAGGGTCTGGACCTTTATCCTGAGCCTTAGTCTGTAAACAAAAAATAGAAAAAAAGGGGACCTTCGGACACTATTTCACTAGATCAGTGTTTTTCAACCTTTTTTGTGCAAAGGCACACTTTTTTCATGAAAAAAATCACGAGGCACACCACCATTAGAAAATGTTAAAAAAATTTATTGAAAAACTTTTTTGACTTGAGGGCCGCAATGGGTTCATATATTGGACCCGGGGGCCGGACCAAGAGTAGATGAATGATGTGTATGTGTCATCCATAGTAAGTATAGTAATTAGAGATGAGCGAATTATTCAAAAATTCGATTCGGCTGATTCGCCGAATTCGCGGAATAAATTCGATTCGAGGCGAATATATTCGCTGCGAATTTAACTTATAAAAAGGGTGTTTCTAGGCTTCAGAGAGCCTTTATATTAGTGCAGAACACTGTACCTTTAATTTAAATGCCCTTGGAGTCTGCTGGGGAAGAGAAATAATACTGTCAGTCAGTATGACATGCAGATGAGTGCCGTCGATCTTAGAATCACCGCACACTTCACTCATTTGGGCAGTCACGGGGCCAAAACCAGAGTGTGGAGCCACAGTGTGGCGGTGGAGGCAGCAGCAATGGGAGGCCATACAGCACCCTATGACAAAATGGAACCCACCAGCAGTGTGAGGAGACCTGAAAGTGGCACATGGCAGAGTGTGGCGACAGCAGCAATGGGAGGCCGTACAGGGACCCATGACACACTCTGGACCTGGCAGCAGCATGAGGAGGCGGTACAGGGGCCCATGACAGATTACGGGCCTGGCAGCAGCAGTGGGGCGGGCGGTGGATGCAGCAGTATTCGGAAGCCAAACACAGGCCTCGGTTAAAAAGCGGAAGCCGTCAGCAGCGTGAGCAGACGACAGAGACACATGGCGCAGGGTGGCGGTGGAGGCAGCAGTATTCGGAAGCCATACACAGGCCTAGGTTAAAAAGCGGAAGCCGTCAGCAGCGTGAGCAGACGACAGAGACACATGGCGCAGGGTGGCGGTGGAGGCAGCAGTATTCGGAAGCCAAACACAGGCCCCAGGTTAAAAAGCGGAAGCCGTCAGCAGCGTGAGCAGACGACAGAGGCACATGGCGCAGGGGGTGGCGGTGGAGGGCAGCAGCAATGGAAGGCCATACAGCAGGGTGGCGGTGGAGGCCTATCACAAAATAAAAAGGAAGCCCACCAGCAGTGTAAGGAGACCTGAAAGTGGCACATGGCGCAGGGTGGCGGTGGAGGCAGCAGTATTCGGAAGCCATACACAGGCCTAGGTTAAAAAGCGGAAACCGTCAGCAGCGTGAGCAGACGACAGAGACACATGGCGCAGGGTGGCGGTGGAGGCAGCAGTATTCGGAAGCCATACACAGGCCTAGGTTAAAAAGCGGAAGCCGTCAGCAGCGTGAGCAGACGACAGAGACACATGGCGCAGGGTGGCGGTGGAGGCAGCAGTATTCGGAAGCCATACACAGGCCTAGGTTAAAAAGCGGAAGCCGTCAGCAGCGTGAGCAGACGACAGAGACACATGGCGCAGGGTGGCGGTGGATGCAGCAGTATTCGGAAGCCAAACACAGGCCTCGGTTAAAAAGCGGAAGCCGTCAGCAGCGTGAGCAGACGACAGAGGCACATGGCGCAGGGTGGCGGTGGAGGCAGCAGCAATGGAAGGCCATACAGCACCCTATCACAAAATGGAACCCACCAACAGTGTAAGGAGACCTGAAAGTGGCACATGGCAGAGTCTGGCGATGAAGTCAGCAGCAATGGGAGGCCGTACAGGGACCCATGACACACTCTGGACCTGGCAGCAGCAAGAGGAGGCGGTACAGGGGCCCATGGCAGAGTGGCGAAGCGTAAGCAGCTTAAATTGAAGGCCATACAGAGGCCTATGTTAAAAATAATAACATGTTTGGGGCATGATTCATGGCGGATTTAGTCAGTTGTGTCAGGAACTGGTGGTTTGAAATCCAGACTAATCCACGCCTGATTAATTTTCACAAACGTGAGTCTCTCCACACTTTGGTGTGGACAGTCGTGTCCTCCGCGGAGTTACAATACCTCCTGCCGCACTAAACACGCGCTCCGATGCCACGCTACTGGCCGGGCATGACAGCCTTTCAAGGGCAAATTCAGCTAGTTGGGGCCAAAGGTCAAGTTTCGTTGCCCAGTAGTCAAGGGGATTGTCTACCTCGGTTGGCAGGGTGCTGTCCAAGTAGGCCCGAGCCTGTTGTTTGAGGTCCTGCTCCAGGTCCACCTGATGCTGCTGCTGCTGCGGCTGGTTAGTAGTTTCCTCACTGCGCTGGTGAAGAAAGCTACTCATCATCGACTGCAGACTGAGGCAGCCGCTGCTGGTGGAGCTGCCACTGCTCCTACCACCCCACCCCTCCCCTGCTGCCATGGCAGCGGAACGCGAGCGCACAGGGCCCACAGTGTCTGAGGATGGACGTTGGCGCAGACAAGCAGAGACCAACTGACTACATAGGTGGTTTTTATAGTACGTTATTTTGGCCTCCCTCTCAGCAGGTGTGAAAAAGGCCACCATTTTTGAACGGTAGCGAGGGTCCAACAAGGTGGACAGCCAAAAGTCATCCCTCTGTCTGATGGTTATTATTCGGCTGTCGCTACGCAAGCAACCGAGCATGCTATGGGCCATTTGTGCCAAGGAATGCGAGGGACTCCCTGCCTCCATCTCCACAGCATACTGCCACGGTGCGTCTGGGTCCTCTGTCTCCTCCTCCTCTACCAGATGCTCCTGCTCCTCCACTCCTGTCCGCTGAGTGGAAAAACCACCCATTTCACTCAATAATTCCTGAGCACCAATGTCCTCCTCTACCTCCTCCTCTTCTTCCTGTCCTACCCCCACAGGGGTCATGTGGCGTTGAGATCTGTGCGCCACGTCTACCGCACCCTGACCAGCCATTGTTAACAGCATTTGTTCCAGGACGTGCAACAGAGGAATGACGTCGTTCATCCCATAGTCCTGCCGACTCACGAATAGCGTGGCCTCCTCAAAGGGCCTGAGCAAGCGGCAGGTGTCACGCATGAGCTGCCAATGGCTGACATCTAAGTTACACAGGGGAGTACCTTTATCCGCTTGTAACATCAGGAAATCGGTGATGGCCTTTCGCTGTTCGTAAAGGCGGTCTAACATATGTAGGGTTGAATTCCACCTTGTTGCAACGTCGCAGATCAGGCGATGCTGTGGAATTCCGTTCTGCCGCTGCAGCTCAAGGAGGGTGTGCTTTGCGGTGTAGGAATGGCTGAAATGCATGCAAAGTTTACGTGACATTTTAAGGATGTCTTGCAGTGGGATGGTGGATTTTAGGAACCGCTTGACAACCAGATTGAACACGTGAGCCATGCATGGCACATGGCACAACCTTCCTTGACGCAGAGCAGACACCATGTTCTTTCCGTTGTCGGTCAACATGGTTCCGATTTTCAGTTTGCGCGGAGACAGCCATCTGTCGATTTCTCTGTTCATTACACTCAGAAGTTCCTCCCCTGTGTGACTACGTTCGCCAAGGCATACCAGGTGCAGCACAGCGTGACACCGTTGTGCCCTGCACATGTGATATGCCGGTCGGGTAATGGGACTTGGCACGGGGGTGGCGGCTGAGGACACGGCGGAAGAAGAGGTGGTAGAGGCGGACATCTTTGCTGGACCAAGGACGTGCAAACGTGGAGGCAAAAGCGGCGTGACCTGTCCAAGTTGCTGGTGCGGCTGTGCCGGCACCACGTTCACCCAGTGGGCCGTAAATGACATGTACTGTCCCTGACCGTAGTTACAGCTCCACACGTCGGCGCTGCCGTGCACTTTGGCAGAGACCGACATGCTCAAAGACTGGCCCACCATCTCTTCTACATGTGAATGCAGGGCTGGCACTGCCTTTTTGGCGAAGAAATGCCGGCTTGGCACTCTCTCCACCGCGGCTCGGCACAAGCCATCATTTCTCGGAAAGGTGCTGAGTCCACCACTTGGAAAGGGAGGGACTGCAGCACCAGCAACTTGGACAGGAGGACGTTCAGCTTCTGCACCGTCGGGTGCGTGCTCGCAAACTGTTGTCTCTTGGAAACGGATTCCAAGAAAGACTGCTGACGGAATCCGTGAAGAGGAGTAGCAGGAGAAGGAGCATCTGAACGAGCGGAAGATGCCAACGAGCGACAACTCCCCTCAGCAGAGGTGTTGGAGCCTTGACTGGCTGATAGAGGGCGATTGACGTCGGGTGACGGAGCAAGTAACGGAGCGGGTGATGGAGCGGGGGCTGGGGCAGGCAGAACCGCCGTATCTTTATCACGGTTTTCCCAGGCCACCGAATGGCGACGCTGCATATTCTGACGCAACGCTTTAGTCCCAACATGGGCCCCCTGGCCACGCTTGACTTTCTGGCCACATAGTCGACATACGGCTACGTTTACTTCCTCGGGCGGCTTGACGAAAAATTGCCACACCGCCGAGTAGGAAACTTTGCCCCCGCTACTCCTCACTGGCTGACTGCTACTTCCTCCGTGCACACCGGCACCACTACTGGCCGTGGTGGTAGGCTGCAGTGGAGCTGGTGCTCTACTCCGTGGCCGTTTGCCTCCACTGACACTGCTGCGACCCTGCTGCCTCCTGGGCAACCCACCGACTGTTTTGCTCGCTGGCAAGCTGGCACCCTCTTCTCCTGATGATGCGGAAGCAATAGCCTGATGACGACGAGGCTGCCAAGTGCAATCAGCCTCATCATCATCAATTAGGGTCTCCGCGTCACTACTAGCCCCCTCGGCTGCGTGTGGGTCAGGAGACAGACCTGTCTCTAGACCGGCTACCGAGCCACTCTCCTCGCCAGTACTTCTTCGCCTGGCTGCTGAAGAGGCGGATGTCTCCCCCCGTTCATGACCGCCCTCTGTTAGCTCTTCCTCACTGTACAGTGGGGCTGAGCCCACAGCATGCGATACTTCGCTTGGTGAGGGAACACCAAAGGACAGGGGCAGGTAGAGGACACGTGATTTCAGTGGGCTTGCTCCCGGGCCATGCCAACTAACGGTTGTGTCTGACGTACCCACCGACCGTTGGCTGTAGGTGTCAGAGGTGACCTGGGAAGAGGAAGACAACCGAGTCAACCAATCGATGACGGCAGGGTTGTCGGTGGAGACACGACCGCTGGATGACACCGGGAGCACTGGCCTCTGGCTGCGACTAGTGCTGCCTCGACCCCTTCCTCTGCTGCCACGTCTGCTCGCTCCTGAAACATTGCCTCCTCTGCCACTCCTCTGCGTGTTGTCTGACATACTCTTTAATTCAATAAGCACCCCAAACATAAAACAGGATTTAACTCTTTGAACGTACAATAGTGGTTGTGAAGCAGAAAGTAACGATTCTGTGTCCCTGAGTAACAATTCTGTGTCCCTGAGTAACGATTCTGTGTCCCTGAGTAACGATTCTGTGTCCCTGAGTAACGATTCTGTGTCCCTGAGTAAAAATTCTGTGTCCCTGAGTAACGATTCTGTGTCTGTCCCTGAGTAACGATTCTGTGTCCCTGAGTAACGATTCTGTGTCCCTGAGTAAAGATTCTGTGTCCCTGAGTAACGATTCTGTGTCTGTCCCTGAGTAACGATTCTGTGTCCCTGAGTAACGATTCTGTGTCCCTCAGTAACGATTCTGTGTCCCTGAGTAACGATTCTGTGTCCCTGAGTAACGATTCTGTGTCCCTGAGTAACGATTCGTGTCCTGAGTAACGATTCTGTGTCCCTCAGTAACGATTCTGTGTCCCTCGATTCTGTGTCCCTCCTGTCCGAGTAACAATTCTGTGTCCCTGAGTAACGATTCTGTGTCCCTGAGTAACGATTCTGTGTCCCTCAGTAACGATTCTGTGTCCCTGAGTAACATTCTGTGTCCCTGAGTCCAATTCTGTGTCCCTGAGTAACAATTGTGTCCCTGAGTAACGATTCTGTGTCCCTGAGTAACGATTCTGTGTCCCTGAGTAACGATTCTGTGTCCCTGAGTAACGATTCTGTGTGTCCCTGAGTAACGATTCTGTGTCCCTGAGTAACGATTCTGTGTCCCTGAGTAACAATTCTGTGTCCTTGAGTAACGATTCTGTGTCCCTGAGTAACGATTCTGTGGCCCTAAAGTCTCTGTGGCCCTAACTCTGTCCCTAATACAGACAGGTCTGTCTCTCTTGAATGACCGGAGGCTAATGGAGAATTCTAAGATGGCCACGATTTATAGCTCCACCATTACACAGTGCTGGCTGGCTGGCTGCTGATTGGCTAATGCGATCACATGTCCTGAATGAATGCATTATGGGTCAGCGCGCCTTGTCTTCCCGCTCCGTCGCCACACATGTCGCCGCCATTTTTGGGAAAATTCGATTCGTGCATCCGAAGTTTGCTAATTTTCGGATTCGGCGCGAATCGAATTTTTCCTAATCTTCTAAACGAATTCCACTTCGTCATGTTCGATTCGCTCATCTCTAATAGTAATTCATCCCCCATATAGTAATCATCCCCCATATAGTAATTCATCCCCCATAGTAATTCATCCCCCATATAGTAATTCACCCCCCCTATAGTAATTCATCCCCCATATAGTAATTCATCCCCCATATTAAGTCCCCAAGCCCCCCGTGTCAATTCACTTACCTTTGCTCCGCTCGTTCCTCTCGCCGTTCCGGTGTAGCATGAAAATCTGTCTCCTATGAGGATCTGTCCCCCTCGACGTATCTGCGCATGTGCCAGTTTCAGGCATTAGCAGCCGATCGGCGATCTCCGCACATGCGCAGATACGTCGAGGAGGACAGATCATCCTGACAGTATCACGCTCCGCGGGCCGGATTAAAAGGTCCGCCGGGCCGTATACGGCCCGCAGTTTGCCCATTGCTGTTCTAATGATTGGTCTATTTGTGAGCCGAGGCCACATGTTACGGATGAAATTGCAATTTTTCCCACGGCACACCAGACAATATCTCACGGCACTCTAGTGTGCCGCGGCACAGTGGTTGAAAAACGCTGCACTAGATAAGACACCCTGTGCGCTAGCAGAAAGAGGAGGAAATGTGCTCTGTCAGAAAACAGCATCTCACCCCAGAAGCTGTATGTGACAGAAATAAGAACCTACATAGGCATACATCTGGGAGCTTTCCCCACTGTCATTACCTGTGAGTAGCTGGTGCCTGCTTGCCCGGAATCAAGCCCCTGAGTATCAGCCGCAGGAGGATTCATAGCCGCCGGTCTTCCCATTTCAGCCTCTGCTGTAGTGAAGACCACTGCACTAGCCACCCGAAAAGTCAGCCCTGCGTCCTTTTTCAAATGGGGATCAGAACCAGAGTCCCCAGTGCTCAGTGATGATATCACCCGCATCCCAGAAATTATTTCACTACAACATCCGGAGCCAGCCTGGAACGCAGAAGCTCCGCCCCCGTGGCACGAAGAGGAAGGCCGGGCAGCAGCAGAATTCAGCTGCCTACACTCCCACAGAAAGTGGACGGCAAGTGAAGGTAAAGCCACGGAGACCACCCTACTTCCCTCCACAGGCAGGGAGACTGTCACCACTGTCCCAGCCCCAGGAAGGCTCAGGCTGATACAGCCTAGTCTCCTACCGCCCCTAGATGAGAGTGCTGCAGGGCTAGAAGACAGGAGATTTTGAGTGAAACCTCCACAACCAAGCTTCCAGCCAACCCTGATGAGAGCGATTTTCACATGGTTTCAGGAAACATGTTACCTCCATCCAGAGGAAACACTAAAAACTGAGGCTTGGAGGACCGCCTTTTATTCTCTGAAGGGTAACGTGTCCTGTGGAAGGATCTATACGTCTCTTGGGCTGTCTTGGAAGATGGCTTGGGAAATGGTGCATATGCTTGCCTGAATGATACAAGCCATACATGGGTCGAATTCCGAAATAATTTTTTTTCGAAAATTGCAACTAAGAATGTTCATTCAAATTTCTCACCATTAGTAGGCAGCATTGGCTGATTTTCATGCGGACGTCAAATTTAAATATTATTCTACAGGAATTATATAACGCCAACAATTTGCACAGCACTTTACAAAATGAAGGTAGACATTACAGTAACAATAAAATTTGGTACAAGAAACAGAGGGCCCTGCTCGTAAGAGCTTACAATCTAGGAGGAAGGGTTGAGTGATACAAAATGTAATAGCTGTGGGGGATGAGCTGAAGGAGGAAATAAAAGTCAGTTTACTAGTTAGAAGTAGGATAGGCTTCTTTAAAGAGAAAGGTTTTCAGGGATCATATAAAGGTGGATAGATTAGGAAAAAATAGACGTACAGAATGGGGTAGGGAGTGCCATAGGATGGGAGAAGCTCAGAAGTCCTGGAGGCAAGCATGGGAGGAGGTGACATGGGAACTAGACAGCAGAAGGTCTTGGGAGGATCGAAGAGAGCGGTTTGGTTGATATCTTTAGACCAGGTTGGTGATGTAGCTGTGGACGGCTTTGTAAGTTGCTGTTAGCATTCTGAATATTATTCGTTGGGTGAGTGGAAGCCAGTGGAGGGATTAGCAGAGAGGGGTAGCAGACACTGGTAAGGTGGATGAGCCTGGCAGCAGCATTCGTGATGGACTTAAGGGGGGATAGCCTATGTAAAGGTAAGACAATGAGGAGGGAGTTGCAGCAGTTGAGGCAAGAGGTAACCATGGAGTGATTTAGGAGGTTTGCGGTATCATTGGTTAAAAAGGGGCGTATTCAGGAGATGTTGCGAAGGTTGAAGCAGCATGATTTGGACTGGGATTGGATGGGGGCCTAAAAGGATAGTTCAGAATCCAGGGTTACCCCAAGCACCCTGGCAAGTGGGGATGGGTTGATAGTTGTGCTACTGATCCTGACCGAGAAATCAGGGGAAGAGGCACGTGGAGGAGAAAACATTATGAGCTCAGTTTTGGATAGATTGAGTTTTAGGAAGTGGTAGGACATCCCGTCTGATATGTCTGTTAGTAAATCAGTGATATGTGAGGAAACTGATGGGGTGAGCTAAGGAATAGAGAGATAGAATTGTGTGTCATCAGCATAGAAATGATATTGGAAACCATGGGAAGCTATCAGTGTAGATCGAGAATAGGAGAGGTCTAAAGGACAGAACCTTGGGAGATCCTGACGGTAAGTTGTAAGTGACACTGAAGGTACGGTGAGATAGGCAAGATTCAAACCAATGGAAAGTACAGTCACGGAGGCAAGTAAATAGAGTTTTTTGAGGAGGAGGAGGGGGTGGTCAACCATGTCAAAGGCAGAGGAGAGGTCCAAGATAAACAGTATGGAATAGTGACCACTGGTTTTAGATGTTAGTAAGTCGTTTGTGAGTTTTAGGAGAGCAGTTTCTGTGGAGTGCTGTGGGCGAAATCCAGACCAGAAAGGGATTGAGAAGGTTATTCTCAATGAGATGGCAGATCAGCCAGTTGTAGATTAGATTTTCAAGGAGTTTGGAGGCAAAAGGGAGTAAGGAGATGGGTCTCAGGTTGCTAGGATTGGTGGGGTCCAGTGAGGCCTTTTTAAGTATGGGGGTGACTAGCACATGTTTTAGAGAGTTGGGGAAGCTGCCAGTAGAAATGGAGAGACTGAAGATATAAGTCAAAGAGTGAAGGATAGAGCCTGAGAGTGACCGTAGTATTTGCGAGGGAACAGGGTCCAGGGGACAGGTGGCTAGGTGGGCGTTAGAAAAATAGTTTGCCAACCTCCTCTATAGTAGCTGGATTAAACAAGGAAAGTATAGATTGAGCAGGTGAACAAGGAGTATAGGGTGATGGAAGTATTTGTACAGGGGAGATCTCTTCACTAATTGTATCAATTTTATTTTTGAAGTCATTAACGATCTCCTGGGCAGCGAGTAAATTAGTGGATGGAAGTAATGAAGGACGAAGTAGAGAGTTAAAGGTAGAAAAGAGTTGACAGGGACTGCGTGAGAGGGTGTTAATGAGAGTGATAAAATAGCTCTGTTTGGCAGTGTGGAGACAGGAATTGCATTTTTGAAGGGCAGATTTATATTGGTCGAAGTCTTGCTAGGTTTTAGTCTTAGGCCATAAACACTCAAGAGCACGGCTATGTTTTTTGAGGCATCTGGTATTGTCTGTTTACCAGGGCTGTAGCGGTTGGGGTCTAATTCTGTGTGTAGTGAGGGGGACCAATGTGTAGACAGAAGTGGCCAGCTTGGGGAAGAACAGGGTTGAGATTTTGTCATAGAGACAATTTGTTGCAGAAAAAAGTAGAGAAGGCTTAAGATAGCAAAGGTTTCTATGCGTAACTGTTCGGTAGTTGGAAGACAAGGAGAGAGTTGAGTTAACTTCCCTAGCGGACTGATTATGCCCATATTTCTGTGCTCAAAGCGGTACATTTTTTTGCATGGAAAATATGTATTTTTTTTTACTGTAGGCCTGTAATTTTTAGGAATAACTCACTGAAATCTGTCCGAACAAGAGTCTAGTAAACATCCCGGGTATGTTAAAATTTGAAACACGAAATCATAAATTATAATTTACTAAATAATCATAAAAAATAATAATATATTAATAATAAATGTAAATCAATAATATAATCAAGCCAAAAACACTGAAATTTGAAATATGGCGCCAAGTTCGCACATCACTGAGCAAAGTCGCAGAATCGTTTTCAGTGTCTGATGACGAATTTCCCCACAAATCATTATCACTCAATTCTGCAAGTAGTACTAATTTACTATCGCTGTTCTGTAGCTGGTCTAAAACCGCTTTTGACTTAAAAGGGACGCTTTTTGGACACCATGGACGTTTCTCAGTTTCCAGGCAGAAAGAATGGTAAAAATGCAGGCAGGGCACAGGGCAAAGCACTAGGGACAAAATGTATGTGAAATGGTTTGATACAGTAATGTTTTACTATGAGATTTTAGTGAATTTAGTGACTGTCACTTTTTGTCATTTTCAAATTTCCCGCCAGTTCTGTCCCCGTACGTCCCGACGCTCGCAGGGGACGGAACCTAGATGACAGATGCCGGCATCCGCCAGAGGACATTACAGGGGACACTGCAGGAGGGACATCGTGGGAGTGCAGGACAAGGTAAGTGATCGAGGGATCCCGGAGCAGCGCCGCATGGTAAGCCCGAGCGTAGCTCTGGGTTACCACTTCTGGTACTGAAACTTTACTCCGAGCTACACTCAGGAATACCGCCAAGGAGGTTAACAAGGGAGTGATCAGAGAGAGGAAAAGGAAAGTTGGTGAGGTTGCAAGGAGTGCATAGGTAGAATACATAGTCGAGGCAGTTACCATTAGAGTGAGTAGAAGCATGTGTCCTTTGTTTTTAGGTCAAAAAAGTGGTTAGACTCAGAGGTTTAGAAGTAGCAGGAGTGTTAAGATTAACAGGGATGTAGAAGAGAGAAAGTAAGGCAGCCAAGCAGAGAAGTCATCAAGGATGGAAGGAATAATCGGGTATGTTGGAAATTTTTTGAAAAATGATAACATTTCTAATCAATGATGGGAGAATCGTGCGAGAAATATAAATCGAAAAAGAAATGAGCATGAGCCATGACCCGAAAAGCCACAAAAATTCTTTTCTTAGGTAACATGAGGTGAAATTGAAGGCTTGGTTGGTAGAATTTCAGAATCAATGGTGGCACCATCGGATTGCAAAACACACAAAATTTCTGATTTTCTAAAGAAAATTTGTTCCGAATTCAATCCATGTATGGTCTGCATTAGATACGGGTAGTTCTAAAGGGAACTACTGTTAAAAAAAGGGTTCTAAGTACTTTATTAAATTCTCCTGTGAAACAAGGCATGGTAAGTTAGTAATGAAAGCAGTAATAAAGTCCTCTTGCAGTGTTATGCCATAATGCGCTACTAAGCATCACATACTAGCAGATTATGGCAGACTTACTTTTAAAACAGAGTCCTCCAGCACTGCCCTGTCACTGCTGCTTCCACTCTCAGGTTTGCACTCTCCAGGTGTATAAATGACTGTGCGGGGTTGTGATGACTTCACTCCCGCACATGCACATAAGACTCATCATCGCATGTAGTGACTTCAATGGCACATGTTTAGGAGTTATTCAGTGTACCTAGAGGTAAGACGTAACTGAAGGTACAAGTTTTATATATAACTTTGCAGGGAGCCTATAGGCAATACTGGTGACCTTAGGCTAAGCTTCTAAAAACCAAACCCTAGAAGTCTAAAACTAATCTACATTTAATGGGTATAATGTAAAATTAATTTAAAAAAAGAATCGGAATGGTAAGCTTAAGATTTTTAATCTTCAAAGCACACACAACACAAGTCATACTCCATTCTTTCGGCAAACTAAAATACAAATAAAACAAACGCAAGGGACTGAAGAAACAATAGTTAAAATGAGCAATGATAAATCAAAGACACGCTGTCTGTATTGCAAATGGAACAGGTTGCTGAACAGTCATATAATAGAAACAGTCATAGGGAATGAATATTGCAAACAACGTCCCTTTGTTTAAAACTTCAAACACAAAATAATAAATCTTGAAAATAGCTGGTTACATGAAAGGTCAGCAAAAGATAGATAAAAGTAAAGGCTGCTGTGACATGAAATTCTGTGAATAAAATAGATATAACAGATTCAGTGCAATTATAGCAATAAAATAGCTATGGATCAGCAGATCAGATAGAAGTCCATTAGATCTTCCGGGTGTGGTGAGATCCAGATCTTGAGGAATCTGATGGATCGTGCTCAATGCTGATAGGAGGAAGTCGAATAGTACTCCTCCTCTTCATGTCTAGAAGTAAAAAAGAAACATAAAATTGGTCAAGATTATCGAAAGACAAGACCTTATATAGAACTATATTCCCTTTAGTCAAATGAGTTGCTCTACATGCTATGCTTCAAGCTGTGGCCACTGCAAATTCACCACAACATGGGGAGCTGACAGCATGACTGGTCACACGTGGTCTTTAAAATCAATGGGGCCACACCAGAACTGTGGGACAAATGCTTGGCTCACAGTTGTAGTGCATTAGCCCCATATAAAAAAAAAAAAAAAAAAAAAAACCCAAAACGGCATTCAGGGGGCGGCAGGATCTCCTTCTGAACACCTGACAGCAGCTGCTTAGCTGTGCTCTGAAAAGTGAGCCACTGCAGATTTCTTTTTCAGAGCCTTGCCTATTGTACGTCTAGCTTTGCAGGTTATTTTTTTTTACCCTTCCTACTGCTGTAGATTAAAGACTTGATACATGCATTGCACCATCCAGAGTTCAGATTCATTTCTAAAGGGACACGAGGAATGCCACGTTCCAGCTAGTTTTGCACGACTCAGACTTGTCTGCAGTAATGCTCAGAGAGGAAAATGGGAAGGAACCCACATTTCCTCTGTATTCCTTTAGACAAAACAGTACAGAGCTAATTTATAAAAAAAATTGCTGTGTGAATGTCTCTGCATTCACACAGTTGCTGTTAAGAATCCCCTTAATGTGTCTAAAATGTGTGAAATGTCATCTCTTTATTTTCTATGATCGCTCACTCCATCTAGTGGCCATAGTGCAGTATTTTCCTAATTAAGGTATTTCTGGAAAATACTGCATTATGGCCACCAGATGGAGCTGACAAACATAGAAAATAACATTTCACACATAATACACACATTACAGGGATTTTTCACTACGATTATGTGAATGCTGAGGCATTTACACAAAATATCTTTTAATAAATAGACCACCTTGTGTTTTCACAGAAATAGGATCTTATTTCCAAAACTCCAGTAGGATATTATTAAGAGGACCTTTATGATATAAACATTGCTTCAAAGTTGTTCTTTAACCACTTGCCCTCCAGAGGATTTACCCCCTTCCTGACCAGGCCATTTTTTGAGTTACGGCACTGCGTTATTTTAACTGACAATTGCGCGGTCATGCAACACTACACCCAAATGAAACGTACGTCCTTTTTTTCCCACGAATAGAGCTTTCTTTTGGTGGTAATTGTTCACCTATGCGGTTTTTATTTTTGTGCTATAAAAAAAAAAAAAGTGACAATTTTGAGAAAAAAAAACAATATTTTTGACTTTTTGCTATTAAACATGTCCAGTACAAAACTTTTCAAAATGTTGTCATAAATTAGGGCAAAATGTATTCTACTACATGTCTTTGCTAGAGGAAAAAAAAATTCCCAATACATGTAAATAATTGGTTTACGTGAATGTTATATGTGTTACAAATGGCGGTATATATACACTGGGATTTTACTATTAATGCAGGAAATCAGCGACTTATAGCAGGACTACGGTGGGTATTCTGACACTGGGGGGAACTGACTTGGTGTCACTGACATCCCCGGTAACACCAATACAGTGATCAGTGCTAAAAAAAAAGCACTTACAGTGTACTAATGGCACTGGGCAGGAAGGGGTTAACATGTGGGGCCATCAAAGGGTTAATTGTGTGCTGTGTGTTTGCTTCACTGTAAACACACTGCTTTGCATGGCTCTGCTATGCAAAGCCATGCATAGCAGTGTGCGGGAACTGACAGGGGGAGAGAACTGTATTGTAATTACAGTTCTCTCCCTCCATCAGTAATAATCCTTGTTCACTGGATGCCAGCGAGTAATCACCGGCCGGGACCCAGTGATTGACAGCTCACGCGCACCCCCTACCTGGAGATGCAAAATCACGTATATATACATGTGATTTTGCGCATCCGTGCCGCTCTGTAGCAGTATTACTGCTATAGGGCGAATGGGAAGCAGTTAATTAGACAGTTCTGCAAAGGAATTAAAAAAAAAAAATGGTGACAGACAGTTTTTGTCAGAATTACAGCTGTAAACCATTGTAATGTATACACACACACACACACACACACACACACCATACATACACACGCACGGCTAGTAACAGCCAAACCAATACAGTTAACCAAACAAAAAACAACACTATCCCAGTAGGAGCTTTATTGCAGCAGGGGCATGGGGCACATTTTTTTTAACTGAGCAAATTTATTAGAACTTTTACCCCTGGTTCACATCTGTGCGGGTGGTGCCGTTGCAGATCCACACAAAAATAAGCACAGCGGAATGCGGACCCGCAGGCGGGTGCCTTTAATTCTAATGGCATGCCACCTGCACTGGAAATCAAAACCTACTGGGAACCGAGGTTCCTGTGTGGCCCGCAGGAACGCGGAGATGTGAACCTAACCTTAATCAGAGGCACATTTTCTGCAAAATAAATTAAATGAAAAAATAAATATTGTCCGATTGATTGTCTGCCTCGATTTTGAGGGTGATATTTATAGATTCAGGGTACAAAAAAACAGATTTGTGACTTTCAGACCTAAAAGCGGGAATGGGCCTCGGAATGTCAATATATTTTTTTGACATCTGGTAGAGAAAGAGTCACTAAAATCTATTTTGAGAGGAAGACTACTGTTATTCTGAAGCCATGTCACCCACAAAGGACCTTTAAAAGGATGCCATTTACAGTATGATTATTTCTTTTATGTTGCAGTGACAATTGTTGATGCGTGACCACACAAAATTCAATTCAGTAAATGCTTGGTGATCCCCATGCAGTAAAGCCAAACTACAAAAAACATACACACACACACACACACACACACACACACACACACACACACACACTGCTCTCGAAACACCCCGGTCACATCAAGCCCGACTTTGAAATCATGTGACTTACATTGGAGCCACGCGATTTCAAAGTTGGGCGACATGTCGATTTCAGGACACAGATGTCTATGCAAATCGCACCAAAAGCAGTGCATGCATTACTTTGGAAATCTGTGTGGCTCCGACCAAGTCGAAACCGCACTGATATGACCACTGTAATTGCAGACAATAGGGTGCTACTTGCAATGAGATTTGCAAGTCGCAGGGCATGAAAGTCTCACCCAATGTGACCGGGGTGTAAAGAAACACTTTTTAATCAGAGTATAGCATCAAGTCAATTAAACTCCTGGGATATTGATCTGGTCAGTTAAGTAGCAGAGGGGGTTGCTAATCAGTTTCAGCTGCTTTCGTTTTACAGGTGGAGGCCACTGACATTTTTTTCCCTACTCATCTTTTCTGACTGTTTTTCACTAGTTTTGTATTTGGCTAGGGTCAGTGTCACTACTGGTAGCATGAGGTGATACCTGGACCCTACAGAGGCAGTCCAACTCCCCCAGAATGGCACATCAATACGTGTCATTGCTAGTGCCGTTTGCTGTGTCTCCCAGCACAGTCTCAGGAGCATGGAGGAGATTCCAGGAGACAGGCAGTTACTCTAGGAGAGCTGGACAGGGCTGTAGAAGGTCCTTAACCCATCAGCAAGATCTGTATCTGATCCTTTGTGCAAGGAGGAACAGGAGAGCACTGCCCAGAGCCCTACAAATAACCTCCAGCAGGCCACTGGTGTGAATGTCTCTGACCAAACAATCAGAAACAGACTTCATGAGGCTGACCTGAGGGCCCAACAACCTCTAGTGGGCCCTGTGCTCACTGCCTGGCAGCGTAGAGCTCGATTGGCATTTGAACACCAGAATGGGCAGGTCCGTTACTGGTGCCCTGTGCTTTTCACAGATGAGAGCAGGTTCACCCTGAGAAGCACATGTGACAGACATGAAAGGGTCTGGAGAAGCCGTGGAGAATGTTATGCTGCCTGTAACATCGTTCATCATGACCACTTTGGTGGTGGGTTAGTGATGGTCTGGGGAGGAATATCCATGGAGGGACACACAGACCTCTACAGGCTAGACAATGGCACTCTGACTGCCATTAGGTATCAGGATGAAATCCTTGGACCCATTCTCAGACCCTATGCTGGTGTGGTAGGTCCTGGGTTCCTCCTGGTGCACGATAATGCCTGGCCTCATGTGGCGAGAGTATGCAGGCAGTTCCTGGAGGATGAAGGAACTGATACCATTGAATGGCCCCCACGTTCTCGCCTGACCTAAATCCAATAGAACACCTCTGGGATATCATGTTTCAGTCCATCCGACGACGCCAGGTTGCACCTCAGACTGTCCAGGAGCTCAGTGATGCCCTGGTCCAGATCTGGGAGGAAATACCCCAGGACACCATCTATCACCTCATTAGGAACTTGCCCCGACGTTGTCAGGCATGCATACAAGCACATGGGGGCCATACAAACTACTGAGTATCATTCTGAGTTGCTGCAATGAAATTTCAGCAAAATGGACTATAAAGCGCTGCACTTTTTTGTTTTATTATACATACATATATACATATATTATATACACACGCGCATACACATTGTGTGTGTTTATATACATAAAATTTTAAATAAAAAAAAACAAAACTACTTGAGATCTACATTAACATTAGTTTAAATTTTTAAATCAGTCCCCAAGCTGTGAGTGGGAAATTGTGTACTGCATATCAGTGACATTTAACTGAATCACACAATGCCACCAATTCACCATGTTTCAGGCCCTGGAGCTGCAGCGGAGTTGTTCAAGCAGCTTAATGTAAGATAAGAACCCTTTGCTAGTTAAATCAGCAGGACAGTGACACTTTCAGCTGCCAAACTGAGAAAGTAAATTGTGGCCGCATCCTCCGACCCATACAATGTGCCAGAGATGTGTGACTCAGAACCAGCAGAAGAAAAGTAGAAATATTATGGCAGACGAAGCAGTTTCTGGACTGATGCACACTGTGCATTTGCTTAGCTCCTCTGAACGCCTTTACTCCTGGCTGGAAAAAATTCCTTAAAAAAGTGGTAAGAGCCGAGAATTGCACACACCAGAATGCTAATTTAGGCATTTTAAATGCAA